TGAAATTTACAGCGTATGTATCAGGGAAAGTAAACTTCAATTTAGTTCCTGGCTGCTGGACAGATTGTCAGGTTTGTGCTAGTGATTAGAAGAATAAATTTCCCACAATTCTGCAATTAAAATCCTACCACTTTTCCATTTCTGATTGTGTGGTAGGATAGGACCATCTCCCAGTAGCTTAATATTATTAGATTAGCAAGAAAATGTCTAACATGACTCAGTGTTGTTCTTGAGAAATAATTAGCTACCTAAGTGGAATAGATCTCCATGGAATACAACTATATCTCTTTTATAACATTTAAATTTGGAGGCTTAATTATCTAGTGAAAAATTGTCACTTTAGCACTTTAGTCCATTTGGCTATATATTGACATTATTAAAATGCTTTCCTGGTCTTTATGCAAATTGCTTTTTTAAAAAAACCAATTTATCTCCTAGCAACCCCAAGTGAAATCAGCACTGAAAAATGCCACTTCAGGAAGACTTTGGGCTCTTAATCCATGTAAATTCCTGAGGTTTATTTGTTGTTTGTTTGAATGAACAAATGATGAATTGGTGCCTATAGGTGTATGCTGCTGAATCACTCTCTAAAGTAAACTTCCGAGCAGCTAATTAAGAAGTCAAGTTCACTCAAATAAATGATAAAATCCAGTGCACTTGGCCACCATTTTGGATCTGTAAGTATACACGCAGCAGAAAGGAAGAACCAAATTTAAAGCTATGTATGTGCATTTGAAGGACATGGCCATGCTCTTGAGACTAGGGATGTTGCTGTCTCCTTTGTGGATGCACTGTGGCCCTATGAAGCTGACAGCCACCTCACCTCCCAGAGCCTGAACTTCCTCCTCTGTGAAATGTGCACAAAATGTGTGGTCTCTAATTTGAGGATAAGATGACACAGATAAATTATAGGAGTGGCCAGGCACAGTGGCTCATGCCTGTAATTCCTGCACTTTGAGATGCCGAGGTGGGTGGATCACCTGAGGTCAGGAGTTCGAGACCAGCCTGGCCAACATGGTGAAACCTCATCTCTTCTAAAGATAAAAAAATTAGCTGGGTAAAATGGTGGGTGCCTGTAATCCCAGTTACTTGGGAGGCTGAGGCAGGAAAATTGCTTGAACCCAGGAGGCGGAGGCTGCAGTGAGCCGAGATTGTGTCACTGCACTCCAGCCTGGGCAAGAGAGTGAGACACCATCTCAAAAAAAAAAAAAAAAAAATTGTGGGAGTGAAAGTGCTTTACAGCTAGACAACACTGAGGTGAAAGTCATGGTTCTTTTTAGGGATGATGCAGCAATTAGGATTCAAGCTGCCAGCCCTCCCTGAGGGCACCATTCCACCCCACCTCTGCAGGATGCCTGTGGCCATCTTTCTGAGCACATGCCTTGGCTTTCTCACTCCCTTGCCCCTGCCATGGGAAGGCACTCACACTCGCTTCCTCCAGCTGGCTGCGTTGAGATCTGGTGAGATCCCCTACTTACCCCCGAAGACCATGTGTCACTGTGGCCTTGTCTGAGTGGAGCTCAGCCTCCTCTTCTTGCTGGTGCCTTTATGGCTAAAGCCAAACTCTGCTGAGCTGCAGGCTCCTTTGGGTGGGATGACAGACAGTTACCTACCCTCTATAAGGATATGCCCAGCTTGTGGTGCCTGGGCGTCACTCATTTCCACGGATTGGGATGTGTGCGCTCAGATAAAGTTGGGAGATCACCACTCTACACCGCCCAGTGACCACTTCTCTCAAAATCCCAGGGTTGAGTGACTTACCCACCTGCTCTGTTTCATGATTCTTTGAGAATGGCAAGATTAAATTAAATCACACAACCTTAAGGGACAAAAAAACAGAGACTGAACTGGCTTTAGGGATGACCCACAGACAGGCCATTCCTGATTAGTTTGGGTCCCCCAAAAGCTGAGTCCCAGACAAGTAGGTCAGTGCAGGTAGTTTACTTAAAAGGTGCTCCCAGAAAGTCCTTGTAAGGACACAGGGGAAAAGTGGGACAAGAAATGGAGAATACCCAGGAGGATGTGCCTGAGTGGTGAGTTATGCTGGGGGCAACAGGACATTTCTGGCAGGGACCCTCTGAGAAGCCATTGCACCAGCCTCAGAATCTTCTTGGTACCGGGTGGGGTGGCTGTCAATCAACTCCCTTCCCTCACTGAGGGTTGTCCCTGGGAACTGAAGTCTCACTGTTTGGTGTGTGCCTGGTTGCATCAGAGCCAGAACAAGGCTGGAGAAAGGCCTCAGGAAGAGAGGAAAAATGTGGGAACTTGAGGTGGGAGGGCAGCTCTCCCTAGGCTGCTGCTGCTAGAGAACTCAGGTGGGCCAGGACTATGGAGTGGGCACCAACACCTTCTGCTCTGAGCACAAACGTCCTTTAGACTCCTTTGCCTGTTTCTGCTGGTTGTTTCACTCTCTCTGACAGCAAGTGGGATTTCTTCAGGGTACTCCATCTCAGGCAACTCTAGGCTGAGGTCCTTACAGATTAAAGAGACATGAAAGCTCCAGGCAGGAAAGTCCCAAGGAAGGACTCTGATTGGCCTGGTTGGGTCATGTGATCATCCTCATGCCAATCATGGTAGTCAGGGTGATGGAAGATTATGACTGGGCCAGGATGAGTCATTTCCCCACCCCTTGTCAGAGGGATGGGACCTGTAATTGGAAGTGGGAGGCTGAGGCCAGTAGAAGCTTGCACTCTTTCTGGCCATTGGACTTTGACCAGGATCCCCCAGCCCACCTAATGGGCTTCAGTAATAAGGGCCCTTGGTGAGGAGGGTTTGGGGTCTGATCCCTTCCCTTTCAGAAGCTTCTGAGCTCTAAGTTTATGTTTTCTCTTTTCTTCCCTCATGCAGTCTTCAAGCTCAAAGGTTTTTTTCCTCCCTTTTACCCCTCCAGACACTGGGACAGGAGCAAGCCACTGAAATCTCATAGCCCTGTTTAGCTGGGTATGTTTTATGGCATTCTGGGAAAACTCTCCTCCTCCATTTACCAAGCATGCATAAAATTGGAGATAAGATTTTGACAAAGGGTACTACCTCAAAAGAGCAAATGGAGAGTTTTTAAATATTTTTCACACCTTAGGGCACTTGACATTTTAGTTAGATTCAAGCTTTTGCTTTCCTGTACTAGAAATAAAACTTTCACTTGCCTGACCTTAATGAATGTTAAAGGGATCCTTTCATGGCTTAAAGACAAGTCCAATGTGCAAGAAACTAGTGATAAAAACCAAGCAGCCATTGGTTGGAAGGAAGCTGAAACTCCAAAATATCCTCCTCTATGTCTAACAATACAGACCATGTCTTTTCAGAATTAGATGTTCATTCATTCTTTCATTCAACTAATAGTAAATACCCAACAGGTACTTTCTAAATCAACTTGAACAAGATCCAACAAAATTCCTCTTTTCAAGAAGGTTACTTCAAATTAGTCCATTCTCACATTGTGCTGAAGAACTGCCTCAGACTGGATAATTTATAAAGAAGGGAGGTTTAATTTACTCACAGTTCCCCAGGCTGTACAGGAAGCATGGCTGCGGAGGCCTCAGGAAACTTACAATCATGGTGCAAGGTGAAGGGGAAGCAGGCATATCTTACATGGCCAGAGAAGGAGGAAGAGAACAAAGGAGAAGGTGCCACACACTTTTAAACAACCAGGTCTCATGATAATTCACTCACTATTATGAGAACAGCAAGGAGAAAATCCACCCCTATGATCCAGCCATCTCCCACCATGCCCCTCCTCCAACAACGGGACTTACAATTCAACATGAAATTTGGGCAGGGACACAAATCCAAACCATATCAGAGAGAGAAGATGGGCATGCAGGAATGAGAAAGCAAGTGACATGATTTGGCTGTGTCCCCACCCAAAATCTCATCTTGAATTGTAATCCAAATTGTAATCCCCACCCATTGAGGGAGGGTCTTCGTGGAAGCTGATTAGATCATGGTGGCAAGTCCCTTGTGCTGTTCTCATGACGGTGAGTGAATTCTCACAAGATCTGATAGTTTTATAAGGGGCGTTGCCCCCTCGGCACTGCACTTCTTCCTGCTGCCTTGTGCAGAAGGATGTGTTTGCTTCTTCTTCTTCCACCGTGATTGTAAGTTTCCTGAGACCTCCCCAGTCATGAAGAACTGTGAGTGAATTAAACCTCTTTTCTTTATGAATTACCCAGTCTTGGGCAGTTATTTATAGCAGCATGAGAACGGACTAATACAGCAAGCTTGTTTCCAAGAATGAGTGTGCCAGAAATGAAGTAAAGCAGAAGCTATTCAGGGAAACCTCACCAAGGAAGGCACTTTTGAGTCAAGATCTGAATAATCAGGAGTCCTTTGTGTAATGACTTGGGGAGGAGACAGACAGAGGCATGAGCATTTGCCAAGGTCCTAAGGCAGAAACCAGTTTGGGAGGTTCAGGAACTAGGAAGGAGGCATGGGTGACCAGGGCACAGCATGTGGGGAAATGTAGAAGTGGGTCAGAAAGGGAGTCCATGAGCGGGGCTACAAATGGGGATTTTGGTCTCAGGGCAACAAGAAGCCACTGAGGGTTGTGAGCAGGGGATTGGCACAGGTGGGTTTGTTTTTCGAAAGGTTGCTCTCACTCCTGTGGGGATAATGGCTGAGGGGACTACAGTAGCCTAGGCATGAGATGGGGTGGTCTGGCCATGGGTGTAGCAGAGGAGATTCTAGAGGTAAAGCCACAGAATGTTTATGGACTGGATAGACAGGATGGGAAATGAGAGGAGGAGGGACAGAAAGGTACCCCACCTTCCCTTGGCTCTGTTCTTCAGGGAGAGCAGAGCCCGCTTAAAGCTGGGTAAGCCCGTAGCCAAATGAACTCTTTTCTGAGTCATTGAAAATACCTGGGTCCTGTCCATGTTATCTTGGGAAAAAGGAAAATTCAAGTCAAAGAATGACAGAAAATTCAGTTCTTTTAACTGACGACAATTTAATTCCAGTTGAAATGTCATTTCTGTGCCAGCAAACAAGCCCTACTCAATCACTATCCTTGTGTGACCCAGGGATTTATTTTCATCATCCATAGTAGTCAAGTTGAGCTAAACCAGAATTCCATTTTGATGTGAATTTCAATTAAATAGCTCAAGCCTGTGGGTTTGGCTCCACATATTATCAGCAGCTCTCAGAACAGCATCCTCTCCTCACCTGAAGCAGAAAGTGCTTTTGGAAAACCCTGTTATCACCCACGACCCACAGTAAATCCATAGACTCTCTGGGAAATTACTCCTTTCACTGCAGTGGGCTACAGCAGGAGAGCACCACCCTCCACAAGACTGCCGAGTGGACTCAGTTATTTAAAAAATGAGGAAAAATAAATTTAGTGATTAATGACTGTAACACTGATAAATATAGCCATTTCAAGGCACACTCACGTAGAATATGACATTTGTTTATTTCAGCAGCCCTGTGAGGGTCACCAAGACCTGCCCTTTTTAATCTCTCTTTTTCCTCTCTTTGCTCACATTCCCCTGGAAACCAAAGAAAGTCAGTACTCCTTCCAGTTATTTGTGCAGTCTACAAACTTTTTCTGCCAAAGAGCTGAGTAGGAAAGGAAGTCGATTGTGCAGGGAACAGAGTCAAAGGAAATAACATGAGAAAATCCTTCTGTTACAATTTTAAGTAAAAAGAGCAGGATGCAAAATTGTCTATACAATATGGCAGGACTATATTAAACACGTACATGTGCCTGGAGAAAAAAGACTTGGAGGAAATACTCCATCGTGTTAATTACAGTTGTTTGGAGGTGACAGGATTATGGGTAATGTTTTCACTCTACATTAAATTTTTTTTAATGATTTAAAATAATGAATACTTATATTCAATTTTTTTTTGGTATTTTTTTTTTGAAACAAAGTCTCACTCTGTACCCCAGGCTGGAGTGCAGTGGCACAGTCTCAGTTCACTTCAACCTCTGCCTCCCGGGCTAAAGTGAAGCTCCCACCTCAAGCCTCCTGAGCAGCTAGGACTACAGGCGCACGCCACCATGCCTGGCTAATTTTTTATATTTTTAGGAGAGACAGGGTTTGGCCATGTTGCTCAGGCTGGTCTCCAACTCCTAGGCTCAAGCAATCCTCCTGCCTTGGCCTCCCAAAGTGCTGGGATTACAGGCGTGAGCCACTGCACCTGGTCTGATATTTACTGTTTTGTCCATGCAGAAGAGCATCTGAGACCTTCTGGAAACCTTCCTGCCTGGTTTCAACCCTGTGCTTCTGCTGAGAGCTGCCCCTCATTGCAGTCCATCCTTCCAACCAGAGGGGACACAACTGAGCCAGTAATGGCACCCTATTCCCTTGCCCCAGTTCAGCAATGGGCCTTGGGCTCAGGCTAAGCCTCACTAAATCCTTCTCTGGGGTGTTTTTAAAGCTTAGGCAGGAAGAATAAGGACACCTTTCCTCTCTGATTGCTGAACTGTGAGGATTTAAGCACACACTACTCATGGTTACACTTCCTCCCTCTTCCTCACAGGAAAGAATGATGGCAACAGACCCACAGGGAGAGTCAGACAAGAAACAGGAGTCCATGAGCTGGTGAAGACCCAGTCAGTTCCTCATCCTGGCCTGAGAACTAATGCACCCCTTCTTGTAGTGTGAGCTCTTTGGGGGCAGGTTTCTGTCACCCATTCCCCAGAGTCCCTACTAATAGAATTTGTATTAGTTGGGAAGAAAAGGACCTGTTGTCTTGGCCTGGCTGATTAGTAACCACCAGCATTTATGCAGTATTCTTGGGAGAATAAATTCCCAGCTATAGAGAAATCCTCTTATTCTGCTTGCCTGTGTGGGCACAGGTATTAATAGGGCTGTCTTCCTGGCTGGAAGAACGATCTGTCTAACGGTCTTTTTTGTTTGCTCTCGTAAGCCAGTGAGATGATGTCTGTCCTGTTGTTTCACTCTCAGAGCAAATGCATAAACCCTGAAAGTCAGATAGGACCACTCTGCCCCTGACAGAGCATCTTTTGGAGTTGTTTGAGAGCATCTCAAAAGGTATACCTTCATCAGAAATCCCAAAGGGTAACTGCCCCTGATGGCTGTGAGGTTTACTCAACGTCATGCAAACAGAAACTGCCCCGTGTGGACACTGTGAGTCCTCTTCAGAAAAAAGCACAGCTCTTTACACATGCAGGGCCCATCCCATGCAGAGAGAGCATGTCTGAACTCCGCATTGTCCTGACTGTCCTTCAGGAAGAGCCATCCAGGAGTCAGGAGAGGAGGAAGGACCCAGAGGGACTCAGGAACTGGGGACACTGGTGCAGTATGATGGCTGGCCCAAGGAGGAGGTGAGCAGGCACCGGCTGCATGAAGGATGGGTGTGCCATGGAGATGGTGGAGGTACTCACCTAGTCATTCAAGACTCAGGGACTGTGTTAGCATTGTGACTCTGAGAAATGGGTACAGGCTGGTGCTGGAGCTACAGAGAACAGGAGCTGCTCATGTTGAAGGCTGGGGTGCAGGATTGGCTCTGATGTAGCAGTGGGTCAATGGGTTAAAGCAGGAAAATTGGAGGCACCAGTCTGTCCATTCATTCACCCATCCATTTATCCATCTATCCACCCACAAAAATATTCGGGCATCATAAGCCGGGCACCACGTGAATTAGAAGGGTAGACCCTGACCTCAAGGAACTTGCAGTCCAGTCACAATCGAAGACGAGCGAGCAGCAAGGGTGCAGTAGAAAGACGAGTCTCTAGCGGGTTGCCGCCCACTGAGGGAGTTAGGTAGAAATGGCTCTAAGCCAAGCCTGGGGAGCAAGAGGTAGGGGAGGAGATGGTGAATGCAGTGAGAGGTGGGGGAAGCAGGGAAGGCATCCCTGGTTGAGGGTGTTCAAAGGATTAGAGGCAAGATGTGGAAGAAAGGGGTTTCGGGATGGCTGGGGCACAGGGTGTGGGCGAAGAAGTCTTGAAAGATGAGAGAATGGGTTGGGGGAAGTGGGCAGTCCCCATGTTCAAAGGCTTGTAAGCTAGGTTTAAGAGTTTAAAAGGGTGCTTTTTTGGGGGGACAAAATCTCGCTCAGTTGTCCAGGCTAGAGTGCGGTGGCACAGTCAGAGCTTGCTGCAGCCTCAAACTCCTGGGCTCAGCCAATCCTGCCACATAGTTAGGACTGCAAGCATGTACCACCATGCCTCGCTAATTTTTTTAAAAAAACTGAGATGAGATCTCATTGCGTTACCCAGGGTGGTCTTGAACTTCTGGGCTCAGGCAATCCTCCACCTCCAAAGCGCTGGGATTTCAGGCAGGAGCCACTGTGTCTGGCCTGAGTGTGGTCTTTGTTGTGGGAGCAGTGGAGTGACATGAAAGGTTTTTCAGCAGAGAATTGTCAGGTCTGGGTTTAAGAACAACCCTGGCTGCTACATACAAAACAAAATGGTGGAGGGGAGACTGCAGGGCGGGAGAAGTTTGCCTACCCTGCTCCTCCCTTTCTGCCCACCATGGCCCTTGCCCCCATCCAATTCTAGAACCGAGTTCTTCGTGCAGGAGAAATCCTCCCTACAGAGAAGCAGAGGCCATATCAGTGCAGCTCCCTGTTCTGTGTCCCCAGCTGGGCACTACACCTGGCACTAGGAGGTGGGCAATCAACATCCATTCCCCAATGAATGGCCTCGTGAATCAATCAGTAGAAATCCATGGTCTGCCTTAAATCTCAGCACTGTCCATTCCTAGCTCTAGGGCCTTAGTCTCACTACCAAGACCTTCCGTGTCTCCCTTTCCTCACCTGTACAACTGTGGGAATTATTGTACTTACCTCATACGTTTGTTGGGAGAAATGAGTTACATAAAACACGTATGGCCCATGCCCTGCCCCCGGTAAATGTTACTATTCTTGGGCTATGGAAGTTCCTTTGCCAGGTGAAGGAAGTGGAAGCTCCTCCTCTTGTTCAGGGCCAGCACAGCCAGGGTTGGGTGAGGGAAAGTGTGGAAGGTGGAATCTGGCCCCTTGAAGATGGCACAACCTAATCCCTAGATCCTGTGAATATGCTATGCATGACACAGGACAGTGATGGAATTACCGTTGTCAACCATTCCCTGAGATGGGGAGAGTTTCCTAAATCATCCAGGTGCTCCCAGAGTCATCATAGGGGACCCCGTGAGTAGAAGAGGGAGGCAGGAAAGAGCCACAGTCAGGCAACGTGGGAACGACTCAACCCACCATTCCTGGCTTTGAAGATCCAGGGAGGGGCCATTGCCAAGTAATGAAGCAGTTTCTAGGAAGCCTGAAACACCAAGAACATGGATGCATCCTGAGTCCTGCCAACACCTTGACCCGTGCTCAGAGAGACCCCCGTTTGGACTTCCACCCTCTGGAACTGGGGAATTTTATCATATACATTTTATAAATTTATCTATACATAAACAATACATTTGTGTTGTTTTATGTCACTAAGATGGGGGCATCTGTTACAGCAGCGACAGGAAATCAATAAGAAGAGAAGGTCCCAAATCCATAGATGTGGAAAGCCAGGGCAAGACGCCACGGCTGAACGCTGGCTGCAGAGGCTACCTCGGGGAAACTATGGGAAACCACTTGTACCCCATGCAGCCATGGCATTCAGGGGAGCTGTCAGTCACCAGGCTTGGAGCATGCGGCCACACTTCTGGAGGTACACCTGGGGCCCCTGGGATTGCTGAACTGAGGCTGGGGAGAGAAGGCAGGCCCTCTCGGGTGGCACAAGCAGGCCACTTGGGAGGTAGGTGGTGACGGTGGTCAACTCTTACCACATCCTGCGACAACAGCTATCTGGCGGGAGCCATCAACAGACAGGAGGGCAGCAGAGGGGACGGAGCAGGTGCTGAGACGCCCCTGAGCAGCCCCAGTCCCCAGGGGTCTGCAGGGAAGTTCAATGCTGGGTGCCCCCGTGACACCCACTTCCTCTTCCCTGGCTACTGAGTTAAAACCAGAAGATGAAGAGAAAGCAAAGTGTTGCTGAAGTTCCAGGAGTGATGGTGCATGAGCCTAGGGTGAAATGTCTGTCACTGGGCACAAGAAGGCCAACTCCTGACGTTGGCGGGACCCAGCACGTGAGTGCGTACTAACAATAAATGTGTTGAAAATATGTGTGTAGTTTGTACATGACAGAAAGTTGGCAAAATTTCAAAGACGACTAAATTTAATTATTATTGTGTATGTTTAAGCATTTTACCAATGGGTCGGTCATGGATTGGTAATAAAATCGAGATGTGTAACTCATAAATTATATACTTATTCCGTAAAATTTATATTTCTTGTTTTTATTTCAGTGAAATCACTAATTATCTTGTTATAATAAAGATTTCCATGTAATTTACATGTCACATGGAATAATGCCAAATTAGACAACATTTTTATATAGTTCTTCGTTGTTTATTTATTTATTTATTTTTTGAGACGGAGTTTCGCTCTTGTTACCCAGGCTGGAGTGCAATGGCACGACCTCGGCTCACCGCAACCTCCGCCTCCTGGGTTCAGGCAATTCTCCTGCCTCAGCCTCCTGAGTAGCTGGGATTACAGGCACGTGCCACCACGCCCAGCTAATTTTTTGTATTTTTAGTAGAGACGGGGTTTCACCATGTTGACCAGGATGGTCTCGATCTCTCGACCTCATGATCCACCCGCCTCGGCCTCCCAAAGTGCTGGGATTACAAGCTTGAGCCACCGCGCCCGGCCCTTCGTTGTTTATTAACTTCAAATTGAAGCGGTAGCTGCCGGAGTCATCAATAAACTTCTCCCAGTAATACTTAGATGCCAAAGAGACCATGAATTTTACATATCACATTCTCATATGATAGTAGAATAGCATATGATAAGTTATTACAGAAAATGTTTTAAAATATTATGATTTTATTATATACACAACAATAATGTATTTAGCAATTTTAGCCATCTCTTAAAGTAGTGTCTAGATTGATTTAATATTTCTCAATTTCTTCTTTCAAAATTTTTGATGCTGGGATATTATGAAGAAAGCTGAAAATGTCAATAAACTGCTCAATTTTTTCATGTCTCTACTCAACTAAGACTCTTCCTTGATCCACACAACCCCCAAAATATTATCTAAGGAAAATTCATTTGGGAATTATTTTTATATAGCTCTTCTTCACAGTTACTCAATTATTTTTTGTTTCCTTGTTCTGATTTCTTTACCTTTTACTGGAACGTCACACATTTTACATGTATTCTCTTTTGATTTAGAAAACTCTTTAAATTTTTAAAAAACACATTTTAATATTTAAAAAGTGAGGTAGCCACGCTTAAATTATTTTTTCATTTGAAAGTTTCTGATAATTGAGAGCGAGCAACAGTATATACCAAAAGATTATGGACCGTGCAAATTCAAAATAAATTTCATTTTCTGCTCATGTCCCTTTTTTGTAGCTCTTCTGTTGTTTTGCCTAACTCTTCTCCTGTCTTGTTTAAATGAAATCTAATTGCTTGAACAACTCTTAGTTGGCCTTCCCATCATATGCTTAGAGAGCTCGTAAGGTCAAATCGGATATATGTTTCATGAAGATGTTCCCTCTTCGGTTGGATCCGGAAACTACCCTTCAGACTTGGTTGATTGTTCTGAAGGTGGGATCACCATAGGTCAAGTTGAGACCACGTGTTTATACTGAGATTTATACTATGCAACAAATTTATACTATGGGCTTTACAGCAGATGCTGCTGAATTGTTGACCAATATTCTGGTTCATACACCTTTTCCTTTATCAGGAAAGGTAAAGGAATTTTATGTTCATGTAATTTTCAGAGACTTAGCCTCAACAATCTTTTAACTTAATTCCTAAAATTGTAAGTTATCTTTCCAGTTCCTCATTTAAATCCAGACCTGTACTTTGAGGTGTGGAGACAATGTCATATGTTCTTGTTTTATTTTTGAACAATATATATCATAAATGTTTGTTGTGCAACGTGACCTTTGTCCCTGCTACCATCGAGTTGCATTGAGTAATATTTACTTATGTTTGTGTGTTATGTCTGATTTATTTTCTCACTCTATTACCTACTAAATTAGCAATCTCATTTGGAATTATTCATCCTAGATAGTGATTGTTTTATTACTTTTATTCATCTTACATTTTTGGCCATTCTAACATAAAAATTGGGGTTCTTTCTATTAAACCTCAAATTCTTGTATTGTTTCTGTGAATACGGGGCTTGCTAACACTGTGAAAAGCATTATTACTTTTGACTACATATTGGACCCCTAAAATATTTTTTCAGACCATCACAACAATGTTCTAAACTGGTGAGCACTTATCATTGTTGAATATTATTGGTGGTTTGGCCTATTTTAAAATTTCTAATATTTGCATGTGTACTTTTTTTTTAACGTGTGTGAATGACATTTCATGTTATTTTAATTAAAAATTCAAATGTTTCTGGTCAAAAATAACTTCTTTGGCCAAAACTCATCTTGAAAATTGGTGTGAATCATGTAACCCATATAACCAAAAGGTTTGTGTTTCACTTTGAAATACGAAAACCTGTCTC